CTCCGGACCGACCGACCGACCGACCTAGGTTCTTGCTGGGGCTCTAAGGAGCAGGTGGTTTTCTCTCCTTGTCCGTCTCGTGCACCTTTCAGGGCAAGTCCCGGGTCTGGCTAGAAACCGAGTGGGCGGCCCACCCGGTGGTTCCCACGCTTCCTGCGCGAAGCACCCCCTCTTCCCGCGGAGTAGATTAAGGGGTGAGGGGGTTAGGTCGTTCGCTCTTGGACGCCCAGGGCCTGGCACACGGTTAGTGCTCAGTTAAGTGTCCGGTGACTCGCCAAGTTTACATGGATGCGAGAGCCCGGCCAGGAGACGGCGCATGCTGGGCCCCGGGAGGCAGGTTCCAGGCGCAGAGCATGAGCGCCAGGGTTGGCTCGCCTGGCACCCTGGGTGTGGGGAAGGTTTCTTGGTCCCCGTGGGTACCTCCCCGCAGTGCTTGCCAACCGCCGGGTCCTTCCTCTAATGGGGCAGAGGACACTTGCTGGGCAGAAGCCAGCACTTTTGAGCGCCTACTGTGTTCCAGGTACAGGCTTAAAGTCCATATCTTAGGGCCCATTAAATCTTTCACAATAATGAGATAGAATGGTGTGGGGGAGTTTTCTGTTTTAAAGAGAAATTTAAAGATTTGGGGATGTGTTTGGCCGTTCTTACTAAAGTTTATAAACATAAGCCAACCCTATCACCACTCCTGGGTATGCATGCATCTACCTAGAAACATACACAATAGATAATGTTCATAGTGGCTTTAAAAAAAATGTATATCTTTTCATTGATTTCAGAGAGGGAGAGGGAGAGGAGGGAGAGGAGGGAGAGGGAGAGGGAGAGGTAGAGGTCAATGATGAGAGAGAATCATTGATCGGCTGCCCCCTGTACTCCCCACACTGGGGATGGAGCCCGAAATCCAGGTATGTGTCCTGACCAGGAGTCGAATCGTGACCTCCTGTTTTGTAGGTTGAACTTCAACCACTGAGCCACACCAGCCAGGCCATAGTGCCTTTATTTGCAATAGGCAAAGTTTGGAAACAACCCAAGGATCCATCAGCAGGAGAATGGAGAGAGAGACAAACTCTGGTGTGCTCACATCATGGAATAGTATACAACAGAGAAACAGAACAAACTATCGATACACACAACATGGCTGACTCACAGGATGAATGGGCACTGTGGCCAACCAAGCCATGCTCTCTGTCCCCAGTCACAAAGTAAAGTCCAAAAACAGGGAAAACTCATCCACATAAATAGAAATCAGCCCACCAGGAGTGGCTCAGTTGGTGGAGGGTCATCCTGTGCAGAGGGGAGTGGGGGTGGCAGTTGCCTGGCCCATCCCCCCAGCAGGCATGTGGGGAGGCCTACAGATGGATGGATGTCTCTCTCTCACATCAGTGTTTCTCCCTCTAGCTCTCCCTTCCTCTCTCTAAGCATGTCCTCAGGTGAAAATTAAAAAAAAGAATCAAATCACTAGTTACCTCTGAGGATGTTGAGGGTGGCGTACAAGGGGGCCTTCTGGTGGGAAGGACATACTGCGTATTTTGATGTGAGTGTTAGGTACATGGGCTTGTCCATATGTGCACTTAAGATCATTACACTTTATGCTGCAACTTAAAAAAGACAGACACCTGAGGGGTTAAAAGTTTTGGCCAAGATCACAAGCAAACGCTGAGCACATACCTGTCTCTAAAGCCGGTGCTCCCAAACAGAACCGTAGGAAGATGCCTGAACACTTTTCAGATGAGATTTTATTCTTTTACTTGGTAACTTTGTGTACATTTTACAACATTCAGCATTTACAAAATGTTAACATCACACCTAAACTCAACTGTAATAAAGCCAGCTCTGCCTTGTTTGGCCAAGACAGGGTGAACGTTGATTGGTTCCAAAATTATTCCTGCCTGCTACTGACCCCAAATCCAGTGACTTCATATCTAATTCTTGCAGGCAGAGCATTGGGAGTGTGGTGACTTGCTTTCAAATGCAGTTTTTACCCGTTTTTGCTGGACCTCACAGGACATTAAAAAACAAAACAAGAAAAGGAACAGCTTCCTCAAAAACACTGTGAGATACTTAGTCCATTTGGGATGTTATAACAAAAATATCATAGCCCCAGCTGGTTTGGCTCAGTGGATAGAGCGTCGGTCTGCGGACTGAAAGGACCCAGGTTCAGTTCTGGTCAAAGGCACATACCTGGGTTGCGGGCTCGATCCCCAGTGGGAGAGGGGGATGTGCAGGAGGCAGCTGATTAATGATTCTCTCTCATCATTGATGTTTCTATCTATCCCTCTCCCTCTCCCTTCCTCTCTGAAATCAATTAAAAAATATATTTAAAAAAACATATATCATAGACTGGGTGGCTTAAACAGCAAACATTTATTTCTCAGTTCTGGAGTCTGGAAGTCCAAGATTCAGTGTCTGGTAAGGGTCTGCTTCCTGGTTCATAGGCATAGTCTTCTCACTGTGCAGAAGGAGCAAGGGGGCTTTCTGGGTTCTTCTTTAAAAGAAGAACCAGCCAGTGTGGGTCAGAAGTTGAGTGCTGACCCATGAACCAGGAGATCTTGGTTTAGTTCCTGGTCAGGCCACATGCCTGGGTTTGGTTTCAGGCTTGATCCCCAGTAAGGGGTGTGCAGGAGGCAGCCGATCGATGATTCTCTCTCATCACTGGTGTTTCTATATCTCTCTCCCTCTCCCTTCCTCTCTCTAAAATCATTTTTTAAAAAAACTTTTTAAAAAATTTGGCTTTAAAAAAAAAAAAGAAGAGCAAGTACTAATTCCATTGCTGGAGGCTTCACTCTTATGACCAAATCACATCCCAAAGACCCCACCTCCAAATCTCCAAATACCATCACATTGGGGATTACATTTCAATACATAAATTGGGGGGAGGGAAGAGGAGGGGAGGACGGGCAGACAAACATTCAGTTTATAGCAGATATCAACCATTAAGATAGCTATTATTATTAAAACAAACAGAAAATGGCAAGTGTTTGGGTCAAATAAAACTGGCTATTTGTATTATCTTTTACTGTTGATTGCATAACACCCTATTACATGAGTAGAATTCACTGATTATTGCCCATTTACTACTGGAAGGGCGAATCCAAAGAGTGATCTATACGCTCCCCCAATGAAGGCCTTGGAACCCTCCTCCCCAGGAAAGCTCATTCCCAGGCAGGTGGCCATGTCTGCAGGCCAGTGCCCCAAGGAAGGCTGTGGCTCATGTGGCTCCCATGTGATGACTCGGCAACCACCAGCTCACATTTCCTCTAGGCAACAAAGTCAGGCCCAAAGATAGTGCCAGAGGGCCCAAAAAGGGACATGTTCTCATGTCCGAGTCCCTTCAGGGAACTCTTCAAAACTGAAAAACAAAATATGATCCCTACCTTTACAATCTCATTTCATGTAAGTTTCTAAACTGCTGTTCTTTAAACTTTTATATTTTCATCTGTTAGTTTTAGTACAGATGTTAGTAAAATATATGTACTCAATAAATCTGGGGGGGAAATTAATATATGCTCATATAGTTCATATAAGGGAAAACAGACATGTTGGGTGAAGAAAATCAAAATCTGTATTCAAAATGCCACCACCCAGACAAAACTGCTAGTGATGCTCTGGTGTCTTTTCTTCTAGTATTTTCTTTTCCTCTGGCTTCAGTGCCCCTTGCCTTGACAAGCCACATGAGATGGTTCAAGTCATGATCTAGGATATGACAGGGTCTCTGGTAGGAGCCCTATCTCAGTGGTCTCAGAAGGTGGGGGCTTGGGCCATGTCAGCTCATGGGTCAGTCCCTGCTGCATCCAGCTCCTCCAGAGCTGTCCAGCCCCTGTTGTCAGCATGGCCTCCTCATCAGCCCCTCAGGAGCTGCCATCATGCTATTCATTCCTGAGAACCACTGGCATAAGTTGCTTGGCAACAGACATTTAAATGGGGGCTGGTGGGAAAGGGAAAGGAGTGCATGAGCAGGACATGCCTTTGAAGTTAGATATCAGAATTCTGAAAATTCAGGCTTCCTCCAATGCAGACGTTTCCCTGGCCACATCCCTCCATGGCCCCAGCTTCCTACCACACGGCTGGTGCCTGCCTGCTTTCAGCCCTTCTTTGCTGTCTCTTGTCTTAGGGCCCTTCCCCCAGGATCTGGAGCTCAGTGAAGAAAACAGAAACCACGCTAGGTATTATGTGCATGGAAGAGTTTTTTTACATGATGCATAATTTACATTCCATGAATTACATCAATGTTAAATGTGCAATTTGATTAATTTTTATCCAAGTAAATACCTGTGTGACCAGCGCTTTGATCAAGATCTGGAATATTTCCACCTCCCCAGAAATTTCCCTTGTAATCCTTGTTTATTAATCTCCACCCCCAGTCATTATTCTGATTTCATCACCACAGTTTAGTTTTACCTGTCCTTGAATTTAATATAAATGGAATCAGATAATATATACTATTTTGTGTCTGGCATCTTTCACTCAACATGTTTTTGACCACCATGTATGTTGTTGCATGTGTCAGGAATTTGCTTTCATGCTGAGTCATAGTCCATTATATGAATATATCACAATGTGTTTATTCATTCTATATATTTTTTTAATTTTTAAAAAATATATTTTATTGACTTTTTACAGAGAGGAAGGGAGAGGGATAGTTAGAAACATCGATGAGAGAGAAACATCTATCAGCTGCCTCCTGAACACCTCCTACTGGGGATGTGCCCGCAACCAAGGTACATGCCCTTGACCGGAATCGAACCCGGGACCCTTTAGTCCGCAGGCTGACGCTCCATCCACTGAGCCAAACCAGTCAGGCATTCTATATTTTAATGAACTATTTGGGCTTTCCCAGGTTCAGGCTATTAGGAATAAAACTGTATGAACATTCACATATGTCTTTTTGTGGAGTTACACACTTATTTAAAAAGTGCTGGACAATAGGGTAGGGCATGTTTAGCTTTATTAGAAGCTTTCAAACATTTCTGCGAAGTGTTTGTACCACTTTACACTCCCACCAGCAGTATATTGATGGTTCAAGGTGCTGTAGTCTACGCCTCTTCTTCACCAACACTTGACATAGTTTTTTCACAGGAAGGAATTTAATATAAGAAATTAGTTGGTTGCAAAATTGTGAGGGGGCTGGAGCAGCCGGAGTCAGGAGGCTGCTATCGCAGTAACTGACTTCGAGAGCACATCACCGTAAAACCGTGGTCAGAAGTGAGGGAGACACTGCTGCCACCCCCGGCTCCACAGAGCTCTGTCTCAACATCTGGTTGATACAGGAATACTGAGTCTGGCTGCTGAAACTGGCTCTAGAGCCTCACATCTTTGTGTCCTTGCTGTCAGCAGAAGATGGTCTCTAACCCCCAAACCTCTGATGGGGCACCTAATTGTCAGACCTTGGTTTATAGTCATAACTCTAGCTGCAAAAGAGTCTTGGAAATGTAGTTTTTTTTCTTTCCAGCAGAAGATGGTCTCTAACCCCCAAACCTCTGATGGGGCACCTAATTGTCAGACCTTGGTTTATAGTCATAACTCTAGCTGCAAAAGAGTCTTGGAAATGTAGTTTTTTTTCTTTCCAGCCTCTGCAAAAGATAGGAAAGCACCCTGTAGGGAAGGAGAGGGAGCCAGCTGTATCAGTTGGCTTTTTAAAAAAATATATATGTTTTATTGATTTTTAGAGAGAGAGGAAGGGAGAGGGATAGAAAGATAGAAGCACCAACGAGGGAGGAACATCATCAATCTGCTGACTCCTGCACGCCCTACTGGGGGTCGAGTCCGCCACCCGGATATGTGCCCTGACCGGGAATCAAACCGTGACCTTCTGGTTCATAGGTCGACACTCAAACACTGAGCCACGCCGGATGGGCTAATTTTTAATGTAAACAATAACACTGTTATTTTCTGAGAATTCGTTCTTATTCTCTGCTGTTCCTCTCTTTGCTTTATGGGAGTGACATCTTCCTGAATCTAATTACTGAGAATAATAATTAGAGAGCCCCCCCACACCCTTTTTAATTTTATTTTTTTACCACCTCTTTTTAGAAATAATTCTCTCATGTCCCCTGCATGGTTTTCCTCTGAAACCATTTTTATTGTTTTTTAATTTAGTTTCGCTTTCCCCAGATGTCTGGTGAACTTTGCATTAAAAATGAGGCAATAAAAAGCACTGAGGAAGTTGTGTGTACATCTCCTGGCTAGCTCCCTTTCAGGGTGTCCATGTGGGGGACTTACCCGTAGAAGAGCCTCTACAGGCTGGAAGGGTTTTCATACATGGGCTGTTCTGTTTCCTTAGATGAGTGTGGTGCTTAATCTGCCTGGTTCAGGCCAGTGACTCCTTGGGCTGTCTGGTAAAATCTAGAGGCCAGAACAATGTGGGTTTTTTTGTGTTTGTTTTTTTTGGGGGGGGGGGGTTGTTTTTTTAATCCTCAATCAATAGCTACCCTCAAAGGAGGCACATAAGGAGACAGAGGTGTTGAGGCAGACAAGAGGTAGAGACCTCCCGAGAGGCCTCTTGGGGGCATCCTTAACCATGAAGGCTCAGACACCCAGCTCAGGGCCACACTCAGAGGAACGGATATGCATTAATTCAATTCACAGAAATGGAGGGTGAAATTGTCATTAATCCTCAATCAATAGCTACCCTCAAAGGAGGCACATAAGGAGACAGAGGTGTTGAGGCAGACAAGAGGTAGAGACCTCCCGAGAGGCCTCTTGGGGGCATCCTTAACCATGAAGGCTCAGACACCCAGCTCAGGGCCACACTCAGAGGAACGGATATGCATTAATTCAATTCACAGAAATGGAGGGTGAAATTGTCACTGGGTTGTGCCACATTATTAATCTTTAAACTTACATTAACTTTCTTGTATTCTCCCCGACATATCCTCTCACACAAGGAAACTGAACTCATCAAGAGAAGACAGCTAAGCCTGCAGCCTAGAACCAGATGAAGAACCCAAGGACCACAAAAAACCGAAGAAACCGGTTTGTGCCTTGGCCAGATGGCTCAGTTGGTTTGAGCGTCGTCCCATACACCACATTGATGTTTCTCTCTCTCTCTCTCTCTCTCTCTCAATCAATCAATAAAAGCATATCCTTGGGTGAAGATTAAAAAAAACACTGGTAAGCACCGGAAAAATCCAAGATGGCATCTGAAACCCCTTCCCATGTAACCTTTGACAAACTTTCCTTCATGCCCAGGGATGGAGACTTAACATTAAAATGATACATGAAATGTATGGCTAGGCCTGTTCCAAGCATGTTTGGGAACTGTGCATGCTCCCTTGGCAAGCCCAGAACCCTCCACCCCTCCTTGGGAATCTCTGTCCCTGAACCTGCCTAACTACTCCCCCACGAAAGCCTTTAAGACTTTCCTAGGGGAGGGAGGGAACAGAGGTGGAAGAGGGCATAGAGGAGATTAATGGTGATGGTAAAAATAAAAATAATTTAAAAAAATACTTTTCTAACTCTCCAGAATTGGGGAGAAGGGATCTGTTAAGCACAACTCATCCTTCTCAATTCCTTGGCCAAAGAATAAATTCTCTGATCTACTTTACAGAACAGTTTCATTTTATTGGCGTGAGCAACACTAAGCAGAACCATCACGATCTTGGGTCCCTGTCCTACGGGGTCAGTGACAAAATCATATAGTTGGTGCTTTTCATTCAAAATGAGAAAGATAACATCATCCAGGCCAGATTTCTTACACCCACCCGATGGCACCTTCTCTCCCTGCGGATGAGGGAAGCACATGATTATCTTGAGGCTGCTTGGCAAGCACAGACTGAGCCCAAAAGGACCTAGAGAATCCCCCTGAATGACTGACATATTTGTGAACTGTGGTGGAGCTGAGTCGCAGACTCCTTTTGTATTGTGATGACTGTGGGTTTGGGAAAAGAACATGGGCCGAGTTCCAGGAAGCTGATCCTCACCACCCCAGCACCACCCTAGCACTCGGAGCTGGTGCACTGTAGAGGACTGGAGGATGGGAATGGGAGAAAGTGGAGTCAAGGACGAGAGGGGCTGCCCTTGGTACCAGTCTGAATAAGTCATGAGGCACCTCCAGGCACAGACTGTTCTGTGATTCTTCACCTCTACCTTCTGCCCTGCCCCTTTTCTGCCAGCTTGTCCCATCCACTTGTCCTGGGTGTGGCAGCACACCAGAGCTGGGAGCAGGCTGGGTAGGAGGTAGATACCAAGTTTTACCAGGTTGTGTGTCTGAACATCCTTGTCCTTCTTCAATGCCCTCTCGCAAAGTCCCACGCAGTGAGGGGTCAGCGGGGCCAGGCAGCACTGAATTCCTTCTCCAGACTCTGGACAAACTGGTCATTGAGGAAGAGCAGCTGACCATGGGGCAGGAAGCGGGTGAGGATGCCCTCGATTCGGTCAGCCCGCAGCAGGAGATTGGTGCCAGGGGCCAGCAGCCGGAGGTGGTCGAGGAGGAGGCGTGCCAGCAGCCGAAGTGTGTTCTCTGCCAGCAGCAGGTTCTCGTGGGCATCCAGCACCAGGGCGAAGCCTAAGGAGAGCACTCCCAGCCACACCACTGTCCGAGGCTCCCGGAAAGGGTCCCCTGCCGCCAGGCGGAAGGCCCCCCGTGGGGCCTCGTGCAGGGGCATCGGCTCATCTGAGGGCTGAGGCTGCAGATCCGTGGGAGGCCTGCCGGACGCCTGCTGCTGCAGCCGGCACATGGACTCCACCTGCCTGGGGAGAGAGGGTGGGTCACCGACTTCTGTCATCCTCCTGACCATCTGTGGAGCTGGGAGCTGCCATTGTCCCCATATCTCAGATGTAGAAACTGAGCCCCAAAGAGACTAAGTGACCTGCCCATGGTCACAGAGAAGGAAGTGTGAGCTGGAACACTAGACTCCAGCCTCCAGGCCCTGAACCACTTCACTCAGTGTGGTGGCCAAGAGGCAAATTTTGAACAGAATTCCTTGGGCTGAAAAAGGGCACCAGGGGAAGAAATCCTGACCCATCTGCTTCCTCAACATAAAGAAAAGGAACCAATGAGAAGCCACGTCTAACGTGGGCTGTCCAAACTCTCCACCCACTTTCCCTCCTGTAACCCTCTCCAGATGAAAAAGGAAGATCTTTCTCTTGGCCATCCAGGCTTTTGAAGGCACTCTCTCATTTCTCCTGAACTGCCCTCCAATTTGGGCCATGCACAGGCTGGTCTTAAAGCAATGTTTGGTTTTCTGTGCCACAGAAGGGGGCAGAGGTCTGACACCAGGTTGTCTCAGAGTGTTAATCCTCCTCCCAGAATGCACAGAGACCAGGTTTTGACACCCACTGACTCAGTCTGGGATGGGAAGGTCCAAGCCCAGGCACTCCAACTGGAACTGTCCTCTAGATCCCAGGCTTTTGGAAGGCTCTGAGCATGAGGACTTCCTTTGCACCGCATTCTCTCTCCTGCTTAGCGATGTATAAAGCCTACAGGCACACTAAAGGCCCTGAGAATTCTTGCACTGCAGAGCATGTCTAATCTATACTGGTGCTTGCTGCCTACAGTCAAATCCCACCTCTATTGCCTTCTAGCTGCATAATCTTGTGTAGGTTACATTCCTTAAACTCTCTCTACTTCAGCTGACTCATCTGTAAGGTGGGGATAATAACTGTACCTATGAGTTCATACACATGAAATGCTCAGAACATAAATGCTTAGCACATATTTCAGGTTCAATAAATCTTAGCTATAACAATAACAAAGGCATTAATACTTTCTTTAACCCTTTTTCACATAACACTTGTGAACAACTATAAAAGACTCTTTGGAAAATGCGACTCTAAAACTTCTTCCCTGATTCTTAGTCCCCCTGTTTCTTGTGCTCCCCAGAAAACCTATCACAATTAGGCATGTATTCAATGAAGTTGTGGGGCTGATACCAATGTAATTAATCCAGTTATGAATTAGCAGGAAAGGAGCAGGGGGATGGCCAAATGGTAAGAGTGTGCCATTTGTGCAGCTTTGCCAGGAAGCTGCAAAGCCACCGGTCTATTCCCCGCAGATCTCTGGGGGAAGAGTCTGTACAGGGGAGGAATAGAGCATGCCCAGTAAAGTATAGGTGACATAAAGTCTAGTCTGTCAGTTACAGCTGGGAACAATTCATTGGTCAGAGTAGGTGTGGCCACTGCAAGCACAGGAAGATTTAAGCTACTTAGCTCCTGCCCTAGCTGGTTTGGCTCAGTGGATAGAGCATCGGCCTGTGGACTGAAGGGTCCCAGGTTCGATTCTGGTCAAGGACACATGCCCGGGTTGCGAGCTCAACCCCAGGTGGGGGTGTGCAGGAGGCAGCCGATCAATGATTCTCTCTCATCATTGATGTTTCTATCTCTCTCCCTCTCTGAAATCAATAAAAATATTTTTTTAAAAAAGATACTTAGCTCCTATACAAAGGAGTTCCCTCTCTGTCTCTCGGTTCGCTCGGGACTCTTGTTGCAGGGGATTTGCTCCTTGGCTCCCCTGCATTTGCCCACGTGGTTCACAGTCATGTGGACCCCACCCACAATGGACTAATGGACTGTAACTAGCCTAATGCTGTGCGGGACCCAGCGCCACCATGGAATGGAAACTCTGGACACTGCCCTTGCTTCTAGCTCTGCTGAATCCCCAGCTGCATCTCTTCCTGGACTGGATGAAGGGAAATGGGATCTTGGGAATGCAGGGATGTAATTCCACATAAATGAAAATTACTCATCCTCCTGGGCGAGCCTCAGAAAATTATTTTTGTCAAGAGATCCTAAGGACCCATCCCCCAGCACCCAGTGAGGAAAGGGATCCCCCACTTCCACCAATAACAGAGCTATACTAGGTTATGTGGTTACCTGGCCACAGCCAAAATCTGCTCCTTGCAGAGGAGCCTGTCCCTCTCAGCACCGTGTGGTCGTGGGTCATCAGGTGAATTCTCGGCACCGAAGACACAGGAGTAGAGCACTCGGCAAAGGCCCTCCTCTGCCTGTGGGGCCCTCAAGGTGTGGATGAGGAAAGCGTGGACCATGGCTCCAGGGTGGGTGCTACAGGGAAGCCAAACACCTCAGTGAGATGAGTGTGAAACCCCCAACAGGGGAGGCAACCACAGAAAGGGTCTGGCCGAGCAAGGTCTGGAAGTCTGTATGGAGGCTGGTGTGGCTGGTCACTGGTCCTTCTCAGCCACCCAAGACACACCCCTGGCCTCTGAATAACAGCCTGGCCAGCACCACCTCTGCCCATAACAGCCTGGGGGTAAAGAAATCTGACAATCTCAAATTCAGTTCTACAAAACAACTGGCCAGGAATCTGCAAAAGTGTCCAGGTCATGAGAGTCAAGGGAAGCTGGAGAGCTGCTCCAGACTGAAAGACTAAAGAGACCCAAACAGTTGAAGGCAAGGTATGTTCCTGGATGGGATCCCGAGCCAAGAAAAAGGTAGTTTCGATAAAGGGCATTATTAGGACAACTGGAAGCATTTAAATATAGACTACATGTTAGATAATAGTCTTGATCAATATCTCCTGATTTTGAACACTGGGTAATGTCCTTCTTTGTAGAGAATACACACTTATACTGGGCCGGTGTGGCCGGTATGCCTCAGTGGTTGAGCATGGACCCGTGAACCAGGAGGTCATGGTTGGATTCCCGGTCAGGGCACATGTCCAGGGTTGCAGGCCAGATCTCCAATAGGGGGGCGTGCAGGAGACCACCAATCAATGATTCTCTCTCATCACTGATGTTTCTAACTCTCCCTTCCTCTCTGAAATCAATAAAAACATGTTAAAAAGGAAAATACACACTGATATACTTCTAAACATAGAGGCAAAGGGGCATCACATCTGTAACTAACTTAATTATCCTCTAAACATAGAGGCAAAGGGGCAAAGGGGCATCACATCTGTAACTAACTTAATTATCATGAGGGATACAGGAGTTCTTTTTTTTTATTTTTTTAATCTTCCCCCGAGGGATATTTTCCCCATGGCTTTTCAGAAAAAGTGAAAAAGAAGGAAGGGAGAGAGGGGAGAGAGATAAAACTTTGATGTGAGAGAGAAACATCAATTGGTTGCCTTCCATGGGCCATGGAGCGGGGGAGGCACAGATCCTGCCACCCAGGTGCTGCCCTTGGCCCCAAATGGAACCTGCGACCCTCCCATGGGCAGGTCCACACCAGGGGCTGGTAGGCGCTTTAACCCCTTTAGAGTCACACCGGCCAGGGCACGGGAGTTCTTTCCTTAAAAATTCTTAAAATGTGAGATTTCAAAATAAAGACTAAATAATAATGATGATCATGATGATCATGATGGTGTCTGAGTGGCTCCATGGCCAGCCAGGGTTCAAAGGCAGGGGGTACACAGTATACAGATATTTGTAGTTAAGTATAAATAGACAATCGATATTTTTAGTTTTCTTATTATATTTTAGATGTTTACTTTTTATTTGTTTTGTTTTAAGAGAGAGAGAGAGAGAGAGAGAGAGAAACATCCATGGGTTGCCTCCTGCACGACCCCTGGGGATGGAGCCCACACCCCAGGCATGTGCCCTGACCCGAAATCCAACCCGTGACCCCCTGGTTCACGGGTCAGAGCTCAACCACTGAGCCACACTGGCTGGGCAACATCTTCGACTTAATCTGGTCAGACAGGAAGAAGGTTCGCGAAGGCGCTCTCAGAACCGGAGCCCGCTGACCTCCATTGACCTTCTAACCAGAAGAAGAACGCGTCATCAGCCGTCGCCACGGCGTTTCCCCCACAGAGAAAAGGCAGCAGCACAGACCCTTGACGTCACTGCCTCGCGCAACCCTGCAGCCCAGTGCATTCTGGGGGTTGTAGTTCCTTGCTCCAGCCGGCGAGGGCTAAGCGGGGGTACCCTCTCGTGAGTATGCTACCCGTTCAGCCCCCTGCCGCTGTCCTCGAGGCGTCGCACTTACCCTTCTTTCTGCTCCCGCAGGCTTCCAACCGGCCGCTTCGCTGGCGGGGGAGCAATGGCGGCTGCGCGGCCTCTAGGCGCCTGCGCACCCGAGTCGCGGGCGCGTGCACGGGGGTGACGGGCGCAGGGTGCGGTGCTCCGTAGGCCAGGCGGGGGCGTTCCAGGCGCTCCCACTTCTGGACATCCGGCACGGGCGACCTTCCTCCTCCCACGTAAGACTCCGAGCTCCGAGCTCCCGGCGTTGCCCACGCCCGTCTCTCCTGGACCGGGTATGCAGGGTTCGTCCACTGGCTCCGGTGGCCGCGAGGGGGCGCAGCGACCCGTCCACCCCCATGGTCTCTGCCAGCCCTGTGAGGCTGGCGGGACCTGAACGTGGAGCCCGAGTTCTCAAACAGACCAATATGCGTGGGAATCACTGGGGCGTCAGATAAAATGCAGATCAGTGGTTGAGAGTGGACCTATGAACCAGGAGGTCATGGTTCGATTCCCGGTTGGGGCGGGTTGCAGCTGGATCTCCAGTGTGGGGCATGCAGGAGGCAGCCAGTCAATGATTCTCTTTTTTTTTTTTTTTTTAATATATTTTATTGATTATTCAGAATCCAACCACTTCTTTTTTAAAAAAATATATTTTTATTGATTTTTTTACAGAGAGGAAGGGAGAGAGATAGAGAGTTAGAAACATCGATGAGAGAGAAACATCGATCAGCTGCCTCCTGCACATCTCCTACTGGGGATGTGCCCGCAACCCAGGTACATGCCCTTGACCGGAATCGAACCTGGGACCTTTCAGTCCGCAGGCCGACGCTCTATCCACTGAGCCAAACCGGTTTCGGCCAATGATTCTCTTATCATTGATGTTTCTATCTCTCTCTCTCCCTCTCCCTTCCTCTCTGAAATCAATAAAAACAATTTTTTAAAAATGCAGATTCCTGGAAATTATGACTTGGGGGAAATACGCATATTTGTGCGGTTTGGGGGGTGATTCTGGGTTGTGGTTCCTGCAGTGGGTTAAAACTAGGGCTCCGTTTGGAGTAGAATGATTCAAATTCTGGTCCCAGCCGTGTCGCCAGCTGTGTGTCCCTGGCAGGTCAGTTACTTCCTAGTGAAGTCCATAGGAGTTAGCAGGGTGACCAGTCTTCCTTTCACACTCCCTCCTCTAACAAGCTCCCTCCTTGTCATCAGAGGCATAGTGAAGAGGCTTATACCTTAAACTTGAAAGGAACACAACGCAGTGCCAGCTTCCAGAGCCCCAATGGGGGCTTGGCCGAGAGGTGTTTGGGACCCCACAAGGTGTCCTGGGTCTCAGTGCCCGCCTAGGGTGCTCTCCCCTGCACAAATACACACTCCTTTTCTTTCTTTCTTTTTTAAAATATATTTTATTGAATTTTTACAGAGAGAAAGGGAGAGGGAGAGTTAGAAACATTGATGAGAGAGAAACATCGACCAGCGGCCTCCTGCACACCCCCTACTGGGGATGTGCCCGCAACCAAGGTACATGCCCTTGACCGGAATCGAACCTGGGACCTTTCAGTCCGCAGGCCGACGCTCTATCCACTGAGCCAAACCGGTTAGGGCCACACTCCTTTTCTTTACCTCTTGGCATGTGAACTGCTGGAGCCTCCCCAGATGTGTCCCAGTGTTCTATTTCTCAAAACCAACACACACTCCCCACCCCCCATGCTGGCTGTTACCTCAGCCTGGAAGGCTCTTTCCTCTCCTTTTTATCCTTCAACATGTGCTCAGACCAAAACCTCGGGAAGCCTTCCTGTCCAAACAACCCCTTAGCCTTCAGGTGCCCCTTTTGCACCCAGGGTCAGACTATGATAGTGATGTCCCTGATGGGGATCCAGCCTGATATGGTACTCAGCTAGGGCCATGCACAAGGCCTGGAGCCAACCCAAACACAGTCCTTGACAACTGAAAAAATGAAGGACAGGGCGCCAGGGCCTTCCAAAGGCATGCACTCTGGGCCCTTCTGCCTCTAGGCCTGGGCAGGGGGCCACTGAAGGGAGCCTAGAGGGGTGGGCAGGGCATGTGGGCATTTTGACCACAAGTACAACACACAAACTTATTTGTGGATGGAGGGGCAGGGCCAGAGTGTGGGGCCTCAGCCATAAGGCTGGGGTGATGTTGGCTCAGTTCCTGATCCCAAGTCCCTATCACTCTCAGCCAGGACTCATGTCTGCCAGCTGATTACAGCAGAGAGCTGGCAAAGGGCTCTGGTCACTGGGGGCCACCTGGCATCCAGACTACAGTATTCTGGCCTCTGTCTACTCCTCAGGCAGTGAGTCCAGTCCAAGTCCCAGGCCACTGGGGGGCCGGCCTGTGTGAGGTGCGTGGAGGAAACCGCAGGGAGCAGCTGGCCTGAACCACTATGCTGAAGTCAGTGGGGGACCCAGATGAGGTGGTGTCCAGATAAGTGGGGCAGTCTCAGGTGCCATTCCTGACTTTTTACCCCTCAGCCAGCTTATGCTCCCGAGATCAAAAGCCATGTGCTCCCTGGCCAGTGTGGCTCAGCTGGTTGGAGTGTCATCCCATACACCAAAAGGTGGCATGTTTGATTCATGGTCAGGGCACAGACCCAGGTTGAGTTTGATGCCTGGTCAGCGCAACTGCGGGAGGCAACCAATGGATGTGGCAATGTTTCTCTTTCTCTCTCTCTTTCCTTCCCCCCTCCCTCTCTTCCTCCCTCCCTTCCTTTCTCTAAAATCGATTAAAAACAAACAAACAAACAAAAGTAGCCACAGGGACACGACTCGTTAAAAAAAAAAAAAAGCCACCCAACCAGTGTGGCTCAGTGATTGAGCATCGACCCATGAACCAAGAAGTGACTGATTAGGGCACATGCCTGGGTTGCAGGCTCCATCCCCAGTAGGGGGCGTTTAGGAGGCAGCTGATTGATGATGTTTTTCTCTCATCGATGTTTCTATCTCTCCCTCTCCCTTCCTCTCTCTCTCTAAAAAAATCAATAAAAACATATCTATATACATAAAAGCCTAAGCTACCGTTATGACCGAATGACCAGAACAACTGGTCAACCAGTCGCTATGACGTGCACTGACCACCAGGGGGCAGACGCTCAATGCAGGAGCTGCCCCCTGGTGGTCAGTGTGCTCCCACAGTGGGAGCACTGCTCAGCCAGAAGCTGTGCTCAGGGCTGGTGAGCACAGCTGTGGCAGCAGGAGCATCTCCTGACTCAACAGCAGCAGGGAGCTGGGATGAGCACAAGCCGTGCAGCACCAGCACCGGCTCGGGCTCCTCCTTCTGCTTGGCGCACTGCTACATCCCCCGAGGGGTCCTGGATTGTGAGAGGGCACAGGCCAGGCTGAGGGACCACTCCCCTTCCCATGCACGAATCTGTGCACCGGGCCTCTAGTTTAAAAATAAAAAGCCATGTGCACCCCCTGGCAATGGGCAAGGAGACACCTGATTGCTGGTGTGGCTCTGATATCAGCCAGGGGCAGAGCAGATGTACAGTCCTTAGTTCATCCTAGCTTGATGCCTATGTTGGCCAGAGCTGTTTCATGCCTCAGACACATAAAAAAACACACAAAAAACACAAAACAAAAAGAGCCATGTGCTGAGGACAGCGAGGCAGGGAAAGAGCCTGGGTCTCTGAGACACACAGAGCCTTCTCGCCGAGTGAGGAACACACACTTCGGTTTTGTTAAACTGCTGTGTGGGGCTTCTGTTACATGCAGCCTATCTCCTTCCCAGGTGAGGCAGCAGGATGGAGCTTGGCGTGCAGTAGGCACTCAGTAAATCAATACATTTTGGCAACTATTAATCCAAAGGCAGAACAGGAAAGCAGAACTAAAGCAGCTGGGGCCTTCTGGGCTGGTGGCAGCCCAGAGCAGGGGGATGGATAGGCTGAACTTCCCAGTTCTTCGTGGGGTTATAAGGCCTCTGAAGTGATGAGGGCAGTGTGTGTGCATGTTTATGTGTGTGAGGCTTTCATAGTGATTACCCTAGAGACTGGGGTGGGGCCAGGCCCCCAGTTAATATGTAGCGATGTGGGTTTGCGGGATAGGCATAGATGGGTGTGTGTGTGACAGAGACAGACAGACAAGAAAAGGAAGAAAAGTAAAATTAAATAAAGCACAACAAAAAATTTAAAGGAGCCTGAAGGAAGCAGACAGATGGCTGGATTTGAGGCCTGTCCCACCTGCCTAAATGTGACTGGGGGACAGGGGGCATGGGCACAGGTTCCTGTCATTTTCCCTCCTTTCCCTCTGGCTGTGGGCAGAGGGCACTATAGCCTCACTCCCCGGCCCTGCTCTTCTCAGTGGTCTTCTGAGTTTGGCGGAGTGCCTACAGACCCTCACATCGGCCCCTTCCCCACATCCTGGCCCTCCTCTGCTCTCCACCCAGGACAGTGGCCAGCAGCCTGGTATTTGCCTCTTTGGCTCCCTTGGTATCACCACTAGGATGCGCTTGATGACCGTCACTGACTCCATTTGCAAAGCAGGTTCTATTCCCCACCTACCCAAGCACAGCAGGGTCCTGAACTGCTGGTGGGCAGCCTGGCTTGGGAAGTTCTGCTGCTTCTCCCAGACATTAGGACCAAGCCCCAGGTCCCACTTCCACATCTCCAGACGCAGGACAGCCCTGTTGGTTTTTGACAGCTGGAAACCCTTATCAATGATCTGTGTAGACCCCAAGACTTCAGGCCACACCAGTCAAGCCACTGCCTACTTGCAGAGAGCAATTAGGTGGAATCTGCCAGCCTCAGGCAATGGATTTTTGATTGACTTCCTGCTAAGGCTATCTAGCCATTTCTGGGAGATAAAAGCAGGAAACTATTCTCTGCTTTTTAGAGAATACCGGCTAGCTGAGACTTAGTGGATGTGGTTGCTCTAGAATAAAGGGGACCAAAGTTGGGCAAGACTTCTCCTTCAACCACTGAGCCAGGCTGGCCGGGCAGGAGGGGCTTTATTATCTCCATTTTACAGATGAGGAAACTGAGGCATAGCAAGATCAAGTAACTTTCACCATGTTACACGTGTGCAGAGGCAGGTGTTCATGTCAAAAGAGATTGATTTTAGCCTGCTCCTTCCCCTCCCCTTGGGTTTCCCCTTCTTCCCCTGTCCCCTCAGGGCCACCCCAGAGGCTGGCTTAGCTCCTGCCCCCAGCTCCTGGAGGCCTTAAGCTTAGCACTACAAGCCTGGGAACTTCTTCCCACCCAGATTGGTGACTTCCTTACCCAGGGCTCCCAGGCCCAACCCAGGAAGCTCCCTCCCAGCCCTCCCTTCAGTGAGCCCCAGGGCCTATGGAAGTAGTCTTGGCTGGGCACCAGGAAGACTCGTCCAAGTGTGATTGGCCCTTTCAAACGGCGGCCTCGTCTTGCTTCCTGCAGGGCTGAGAGCCAGGAGGCCCCACGAGGTGGCTCAGGCCCAGACACGTGAGGCCCTTTCCCCTCCCGCTGCCCCAGGCATGCTGACTCAGAGCCTGGCAGCTGCGGTTGCCACCCCCTCCCAGCGGAGGGTGTGCGTGCAATGTGGGCTGGGTGGGG